TTTCTGTGAAAACAGCAAAAATCAACAAAATGACACCATTTACCAGAACCAGAAACGAACAGAATCATCTGAGGTTCAACTTTCCCCACAATCCTTGAACTTATTGTGTGTGATTTTCAGTTTCATCAGATAAATTGACTAAATCTGAGCTTTAAATCATGATAATTTATCAAAATCACTTCATTCTACATGTCTCACTTAAGAATTTGCCAAAAACAAACTCTGTGCAGTAACAAGATTCTACAAAAACAAAACATTCTGGGTTGTTTTACACAACCGAGGCACCACCAGTGGCTCAGCTGTGACCCACAGTAATGATGATGACTGAACTGCAGGCTGTGTTTACACAGAGCAAAGAGGAGACAAGTAAAGAAACAAACTAAATACATAAATAATAAACTATTTACAGTATTTAGAGGCACCATTATTTTTCCAGTGATGATAACACCTGTATGCACTTGAAAAAATACTATACATGTTGATTCCAGGGCTGCAGGGTGGCACAGTTGGTTAGCACTGTTGACTCGCAGCAAGAAGGTTGACGGTTCGCGTCCCGGTGGGTTCACCAGAATCTTTCTGCGTGGAGTTTGCATGTTCTGCCCGTGCAGCGTGGGTTCTCTCCAGGTTCTCTGGCTTCCTCCCACACAGTCCAAAAACATGTTGAGGTTAATTGGTGATTCTAAATTGTCCGTAGGTGTGAATGTGAGTGTGGCCCTGTGATAGACTGGCGACCTGTCCAGGGTGTCCCCTGCCTTCGCCCTAAGTCACTAGGATAGGCTCCAGGCCCCCCCGCGACCCTAGTGAGAATTAAGCGGTGTATAGATAATGGATGGATGGATGTTGATTCCAAGTTGTTTTTTTTCCCCAGTATTTATAGGATAAATAATCAAAGAAGTTCAGTTGTTTTTCTATGCTTCAGATTTTTGTCGATCTAACTGTGTTTTACCACACAGAAGATATTTCTGAGTTCTCTGTCCTTGGTTGTTCTGTTTCCATTGAGGTGCAGGACTTTATATTGTAGCGAAAAATGAACAAACAGTGAGGAGAAAACTACCCACAAACCTGTTGAAGTTCAGAGGGTTAAACTGGATTTACACACAAAAAGCAGTGAAATGCTGCTGACTGTAAATCTGAGCAGCTGAATCATTCTGACATGTTTCCAAACAAAACACAGTTTTGATTGATGCACAAGTAAACGAGTAAGTTTAATTTCCAGAATTATTTATTTTACGAAAGTTGCAAAAACGCAGGTGTTACCAACACTGGATGAAAAAGGTGACAGCATAACATGGATGTTTCACCATTTACATTTTAACAACATCTGCAACCGTGTTTGTTTGTTTCATTTCAATATAAAAAGGATAATCTGCAGCAGTTAGAAGGTAAATGTTAGTGCTTCTCCTCCCTCTCAACTGAAGTGTAGGCGGCAAAAGTAAATAATCCGTTGAAATGTGGTTATAAATGTGTATTGTCTTTGTGATCTGAGTTTTGGGGTTCAGAGAGTAAAAGAATTGATCCTCTGATCTAGATTTTAGTCATTTTTAAGCTCCTGCAGACATTCAATTAACTAACACTTACTGTTTCAGACCCTGAGCAAAGCCTCTGAGCATCTTTCCCACTTTTCCAGCAGTTACACGAGGATTTCACATCAACTTGCAAAGTCACAGAAGGAGGTTTTCCTGAGTGGGCAGATAAATGTTCAGATTCCTTTCCTCAAAACCTTCCTACATGCTGATGTTTGATCGCTATGAAAACCTGAGGTGCAGCGAATAAATCGAGCAGCTCTGTATTCTGACAGGAGGCCAGCAGGCTGTCAGCACACTTTCTACTAGTTTCCTCATGAGGTTGGTTTGTTTTACGTGTTCGTTGCCGTTCAGATCACATTCAGTCCCACTTTGCTGTTTGTTTGTCGTCACACAGCTGCTCTGAATGAAAACCTCTGGGGCTGATAAGCCTCCTGCTGATACTGAACATAGCTATCTCTGGCCTACGCTCTCATTTTCCCATGAGGCTTTTTTACACACTGACTTTTTTATCGTCTGAAAGCGAACAGGTGTCCTTGAGTAATTCTCTCCATCTGGATTTCGTATCATGACGCCAAGAAAATGAATTCCATTTCTACGAAAATGTCATACTTGGAGTGCGTCACTGTTTTTTCAGTGTTTCCCAAGAACAGAAATCACATTGCTGCTTTATGTGATGTAAAGAAAATCAGATTCTAGACGCCATCTGTGTTTGCTTTGGTGTTTCTGTGTTCAGTTTTCAGCAACATTAACACTATAGCTTTGGATTGAATTAAAATATCTCAAGAGTTACTGGATGAAATCCATTTCAGACCTTTGCGTTTCATCCTCAGGATAAACTGCAATAATTTTAAATCATGAAGCCATCATTGGGTCAATGAAAACCCTGCAGACGAAGACTTAGTTTCTTGACATTTCTACTTAATATCCTGGCAAACCAAATGTGTACGTAGTCTTGCACTGACTGAAAAAAAATCTGGATGCTATCTGCAGATGGACAGCAAGTAATAAGTCGAATAATCAAATAATTAATCAAAAATTACAGATGTACTTTAAAGATGAAGTTGGACTTGATTCCAAATCCAGCAGTTACACAGCATTTTTTTTTGTCCAACTGAAGAATCAAAATCTTCACATTTGTATCTTTTGTACACTTTTAGCTGTGTTTTTGGTCTCCACCAGCTCCTGATTTAACCAAAAAAAAAAATCTCATACCGACTCTTCAACCAGTCTATTGTAGTAATTGATTAATGAAATGAAATGAAATGAAATGAAAAATACTTTATTTATCCCAGAAGGGAAAAATCAAAGCTTGACAAAGAATATAATTATTAGTCACAGCCCCACTTTTAGGATTATGTTGGAATTGTTAGCAAACAGAAGCTTATTTTCACATCCAGCAGTTAAAGAGCAACAAAGGCGTCACTTGGAATCATTTTGGTATCCTTTTGATGAATCCAAATCAAATATTTGCTTTGTTTTAGCTCCATTTTTGGTCTCCACCAGGTCCTAATGGAAATATCTCTTTTAGGTCAAAAAATGAAAATCTTGAACTGGAATCATACCTACTTATTTCCACATCCAGCAGTTAAAAAACAACACAGTCATTACTGAGATTGCTTTTTGTATCCTCCTAATAAATTTAAATGAATTCTAAAACAACATAAAATACCAGTAGTTCCAGCATTTTAAATCATACAGAACCCACAACCAATCAGATTCAGTCCAGAGGAGATTCCATGATGCACTAAGATGTTGTTGTAGACATTCTTGTTCATGATACTGTCGATTTTCACTAATTTGTACACACTGTTTCCACAAAAGGAACCCAATACCATAATGGAATCTCCACTGTGTGTCACTGTGGGTGCAATGCATCTGGCATCAAAACCTTCTCTATCTTTTCTGTGGACATAAACATAACGATGCTGACTGAATAGTTCAAACTTGGACTTGTCCGTCCAGAGTACCTTCTTCCAGTCAACAACAGTCCAGTGTTTGTGCTCTCTGGCAAATCTGAGGCGTCTATGGATGTTTGCAGGCCTCAATAATGACTTCTTAGCAGCTATTCTTCCCTTTAAGCCTTGTTCCATCAGTCGTCTGCTTATGGTCATTTTGGAGACTTTCACAGACTCTGATCTAGAAGCATTCATCTCTGCCTGAAGATCAGCATTGGTCTTCCTTCTGTCTCTAGTACTTCAAATCTTGAGCTGTCTGACATCTGCTTCAGTTAACTTTCATTTCTTGCCTCTTCCTTGGAGCATTTTGCAATTACTAGTCTCAGCAGTTGACTCCAAAGCATACTTGACCACACTTTGAAAATGCTTTATGTCTTTCCCTGTTTGTCTCAGAGACATCCAGCATCATGACGTGCTTTAATGTGATTCTTTCATTTTTTTCAGTGAGCTCTTGGCGTTTTACCATTTTGAACAGGAATAAGGAATTTAAAACTGAAGTCACCTTTTATATCCAAATTTGAGCCGACTCACTGGGCTTCTTTGAAAAGTCAGAAATGAATCAAACATAACATTCAACCACTAAAACTATTTTTTTTTCCTGTTCAGGAATGCAAGTAAAAACTGTAATTTGACATCTTGATCAAGACATAATAATGTGCTGACTATTTTTCCTGTTTTTTTTCTAAAACAGTACATTATAAATGTATGGATAACAATAATAATTAGATTTTAGCACTAAAAATATCATTTGCGTTAAAGAGCTTCTACATACTGGTGTATTAACCATTACATACACATACACTTTTTTTTTTTTTTAATTCTGTATTAAACAAATTCATTCAATATTAATCAAATACATAAATACTCCTGTGAAATAAAAGAAGAAGGTTTTAATTATAAAGAAGACATTTTTTAAAAGACTACTTGTATATATTTTTAGGTATTTTTGTTTCCAATTGCAAGATTTATTTCACATCTCTTTTTAATTCCATCTAATATATTGAAATGATAAGTTGTGCTAATGCACAGTGATGAAGTTTGTTGAATAGTTTGTTGCAACACTGGTTTTCGACATACCACTCTGCGTTGTCTGTCTGTGATTAAAGTCAAGGTTTCTTTGTCCTTGTAGCCTTGATATGAATCCAAGGTTGTCAAAAAGTCTTTTATGTAGGACTTTTGTGAAGAAAAACCTTTCACGCCTCCACACAGAAGATCACACTGGTTCAGAAATTGTAAAAATGATTGCCGCCTCTTTTATTTTATCACTTGCAGGTTGTTTTCAGACGCTGTTAGCCTTTAGTAATTAAAAGACTTGAAATGCAGCACAAAGTTAACCAATAAACATGTTAATTTATGTGCATTAACATCTACAACTAAGGTTTTTTTGTGCTCAAATTGAAAATGTGCCTCAAAATTGGATTGAACCACTAAAAAGACGTCAGTGATGTATTGCAAGTTGTGTTTTCTTGTCTTCCTGATATTTGTCTCTAACATTGTGTCCATGTTGCGTCTGTTGCAGGACTGGGTGACGTCCACAGACATCAGAGTGACCCTGAACAGGCTCAACACGTTCGGAGATGAAGTTTTCAATGACCCCAAGGTCCTCAAGTCGTACTACTACGCCATCTCTGACTTTGCTGTGGGTGGAAGGTAAAGATCGAACACCTGATTTTAAGCTTTCAGACTAATTTAGTGACCAGATTTGGTTCATGTTTTGATGCATTTTGCAGCCTCTGTTCAGTACTACAATGAAACCTCCAGTTAGAACTGTTGCATATCTGTTCACACATATCTGGCGAAATCTCAGTAGCTTGAGCTTCATGAAACCTGCTCAGACAAAGGCCTGAATGGATGGTTGAGGTCAGGTGGTTTTGTGGGTGCTAGGGTTGCTGTGTCACTGTGTGGTCTGCTTCGCTGTGGCCTGCACTGGAATCCACGTAAGAACTCCTTTTCCTGCACGCCTGAAAAAAAGAGGTTTCGACAGGCATTACAAGAGTGTTCAACAGACTGTGCCTCCGCAGCCATAATCTGTTTGAAATGTGGAGCAGATTTCCATTACACAGCCAGCATTCCTGGCATTCCTAGCCGGCAGGGCTGGATTACAGGGAAACCGGAATGGGGCGGACCAATCGTCATGACGGAGGGAAGAAAAGGGAAGAGTCCCGAGCTTAACACCTGCAGGATTTAACCTTTACTTCTCCAAGGAGGGGTTTCTGAGAAGCCCTCATTTATCTCTCGGTGTTCACCTGACAGCTTTACCTGCACTATACCAACCTTTTCAAACAGACAACCCTGGACCATTGAAGAACCATTAATGCCAACACAAAGACACTGAGCTAAAGGTGCATCTGTGTGTGTGAAGAGTAAGATTCCTTCTGAAGGTAAACTTTTAAAATGTGAATTTACCCTCAATTTGAACTCCTTGAACTTCTACAGCAGGTTATCAGCATGAAGCATGTATTAAATTGGTGGAAAGTTAAAATTATAGTCCAAAAACAACTAAATCAAAGATGAAATCAACTCAAAACGAAGAGTCTGAAAAAAATCTAACTTTCATCCAGTAACAGTTTATAATAAATATAGCTATTCTTACCCTAAAGTCATAATTCTACTGTGCTTACTAATGTCAATGCTAACAGTCTCATAGCTTAATAAGGCAAAGATAAAAGTCTAGTTAGTGGTTAACTTAAGTAGGAACTAATATTCTAAATTCAAAGATGAAACTGTACTTGCTAACTCAGGTCAAAGCTAATAGTAGAATGGATAATTAAAGTCAAAGAAAATTATGTCAAGGCTAGCAGTTAAGTAGTTAACTGAAGTCAAAATGAAAATCTAGTTGCTAACGTTAGGTCCAAGCAAACAGCTTAACCAAAATATAACCCCAACCCCATTAATTCAACTGTAGTTGCTGACTGGTAATGAACAGTCTGGTAGCTCAATAAGACCACGATAGGTTGAAACAAATGGTCTAATAGCTGCTTAAAGCCAAAGATAGTTAGCTTGTTGCTAACAATTGGGTAGTTAACGCATAGATAAAAATCTAGTTGCTAAATTAAGGCAAAGCTTATAGTCTAATAGCTGATTAAAGTCAACTTTAATTAGGTAAACTCTAACAGTTAAGTACCTAAATAATGACACAAGTAAATCTAGTTGCTAGCTCTATGTTCAAGTTAACAGTTTAGGAGTTTAGGAGCTACATAAAGCTGAACTCTAACCATAACTCCATATGCAGCTGCAGTCAGTTTGATTTTTAAACACTCATTTAAGTAGCTAACTAAACTCAAAGATAAAAATGTAGTTGCTAAATTATATCAGAGGTAACAACCAAATAGTAAACCAAACCCAAGGATAATTAAAGGTAACAGTTAAGAACCACACTAAAGTCAAGAAGTTAAGTCTAGATAGATGCTAACTTTACGTCATGACTAAAAATCGAATGGCCTATTAAAGTAAAAGGTGATAAGGTCAAATCTGACAGGTAATTAGTTAACTGAAGTCAAAAATCTAAATGTAACCCTAAACCCATAATTCAGCTATATTACAAGTATGTCAATGCTAATGTCGCGGTTGTGTGCTGTCTTCTGCGTTGTGTGATACACCAAATCCAGATCGCTTGTTCTTTGGCTCCAACCAGCCATTTATTCACAGGTTTACAGGATACTGATAAAGACCTAACACAGTGTATATAATTTAATGATTAAATGAATAAAGCAATATTTTCTTATGGATCTGTCAGTAATTTCAAGTGAAAACATTTTTCAACAGGCACACAGACAAAAACGAACTTCCTTCAAAGAAAAATCACATGTCCTGTACATTAAATGTATAAAGCAATATTTTGTTATGGCTCTGTCAGTAACTTCAAGAGAAAACATTTTCAACAGGCAAACAGCAAAAAAGTAAATGTCCTTTAAAAACAAAATATGTTTCTTAATATCAAGATAAATGCATAAATGAAATTGCATGCATTATAAACGGAAAATGCATTATTGTGCTGCTCTATGATCCTACCAATCACTGCTTTCAAATAGTAAAATGAGAAAATAAAAAAAATAAAAAATCAAATCAGTTTTATTCTTTCTCATGGCACTTATCTGCAATTTTCCCTGAGTCCATTCAACTGAAAAATAGATATAAATAAATAAAATAAAATACAAATATATATGGCACACAGACAAAACCATACTTCCTTCAAAGAAAAATCACATCTTGTAGAAACAAATGTAAAAATTTAACTGAATTAAAAACTGATTAAAGCTGCAAGCAGCGTTGGTCGGGTCCTCGGTCTGCGTTGGACCCTCATGCCCGTCTGGCCTCCATTGTCACACAATTTAAACCTGCTATAAGTTGAAGGAGCCATTTTTGTCTCTCTTCTCAGCCTCAGACCGTCAGTGAGTCACATGACACTGAGCTGTGATGATGTCATGATGACTCAGCGTTTTTCATGCCCCTGGCTGAGAGAGCTGAGAGTTTTACTCACTTTTTCTGTCCCATACAGCCACAATTTTCACCAAATATGTGTAAAAACAACATATTTTTGTGGTAAATCTTGTTTGGAAGCCCTCAGTGTCATTTTTAAAGCTGTAGAACCTTTAGTTTTTTGTGTAGATGACCAAATGTCACAGCATGTCTGCACATGTCCCATAGACAGCCATGCATAGTTTGAGCCGAGGCTGCGACAGCTCATCAACTTTAACGGCTCGCCATTCGAAAACCCGTTGAGAAACGACAAATCCCTTCAGAATTTTTGTACATCAAGACCTTCTCTGTCTCCTGTGCGATTTTCAAGCTGGTACGATTTACGGTGCCCTGCGGGCAAGGACCCCTGCTTGCTGCAGCAAGTAGGGGTCCTCGGACCCTAAAAATACGTTACTGCTCCACACAGAAGACACACAGGTTTGCCTTTTACCTCCTTGAACATGTACTCTGCCTCCCACCTGGCTTGAAACCCCCTGTTCTCAGCATCCACCTTCCGTTTAACCATTCTTGAGGAGGGGGGTAGCTGAAAGTTGACCTCTGCTCTGACTGCTGATGAATAATGAAGCCGCTTGCTGTGCTGCCCGCCCGCCCGCTTGCTGCGCTGCAGTGACTTCGCGGGCTACCGTTGCATTGTGGGGAATGTAGTGTTGGTGTGTGCAAAACACCAGCGGGTGGCTGTGGCCTGCGGGCCGGTTCTAATAGTAATTAAATATCATCCAGGGGGCCATAGATAATTCATTCGCGGGCCGGATGTGGCCCGCGGGCCTTGACTTTGACATGTGTGCCATAGGTAAATGAATACTTGATAAATAAGGCAAATAATTGTATTATGAGAATTGATCGCAAGTGGACTCATTAACTCCGCTACACTAACAATCTAGTAGCTTAGTAGAGCAAAGATAAAAGTCTAGCTTCTTGTTAACTTAGCTAGCATAGATTAAGGCTAGCAGTCTAGATAAATATAATGGTAAAATGTAAAAGTGGGGTTGCTTCTTTTAAATTGATCTGAAGCTAAAAAAATTCCAAGAGGACAGATGTTCTTCTGCCGTCTGGAGATCTTTTGATTATTTTTGGCAATTTTTTATTTTATTTTATTTTATTTTTTTTAGTAACAGGAGTTGGAAAATTAAAAAAGGTTTCTTTGTGTCAGTAGATCTGAGTGTATTTCATCTCTAACAAGATTTAATTTCTCAGCGTTGCATGTGAACACTCATAAGGCCTTTCTTTATTTTGATTTGTACCTCATGAGCAGTGTTCTTAAAATCACTTTACAAAGTAAGCGTACAATAAATCCCAAATTCTGTTTGTGTTTCTACTTCGCTGTACAAAGAGGGCTGAATGTCCCAACTGTGCACTTTAACAATGATAATACTTTCAAACTGCAGACAGTAATTTGTCCATGTTTTATGTTTGTGACAGTGCAGCTTCAGCAGCCTTTTGCATGAGTTGCTGTTGTGCAGATGAACATTCAGGCTGCCTTCCTTCCTGTCGTCACTGTTTCCACATCTTTGTGCCAGCAAACACCTGAGACAATAGCCAAAGGTGGCTGCTAAGCAAGTCCTGTCCTGTTGTGAGGGGCTCCTCTCCCCGACGAAGTTGAACAAAACCTTCAGTCAGAGCCAGCATGTGGAAAAACCTCATCAGAATCAGTATCAACACCTAACTGTCCACTGTGTTACTTTAACACTCTGAGTGGCAATGAGTGCTCAGATGCATTTTTATATATAAGTAGATGTCCTGCAGGTGAAAATTTTCAACTTTAAAGACACTGTACAAGTTTAGCTGTTTAACCCTCTGATCCCCAAAACAAGTTGGGTTTGTAAATGCATGTTTTCTCTTTTAATAAAATTGCAAAAATGACACATGAATGAAGTAAACTGTAAAACTTGAGCTAATGATGTGTGACTTTAGGTTTTATGTAAAAATAAATAAATAAATAAAATATATGTTGTGATATTAGTGACCCACCTGCGACAGTTACCTTTTTTTGCAGTATTGGTAGCACCTGTGGACACTTCGAAAAATGTTGTATATGTTGATTCCAGGTTTTTTCAACTTTTTAAAAATAAATCATCAAAGATAATTTTTTTTTTCTGACTAATAACATCACGACAAAAGAGTCTAAGAAGAAAATGAAACATTGGATCAACAAAATTAAGTGCAGCATGGCTCAAAAACAGTGAACAGACAAGCAATTTGTTGGAAGATACATTCAGCATGGTGAAACATGTTTCTACAGTTTATGTTCAGAGTAGATTGAAAAATGTTGCACACGTTGATTCCAGGTTTTTCCAGGTGTTATTCAACATCATAACAACATAATCATGGTTGTGCTGTTTCCATAGAGGTGCAGGACTTTCTATTGCAGTAAAAGATGAACCCGCAAATACCAAGAAATGGTGTTGAGTGGAGGGGTTAATCGAAATTGCTGCTGAACAGGTCATCTTTCATTTTAATGAAGAGGCTACATTTCATCCAGGTGTAACAGGTGTGTTTCTTTGCTGCCAGGTGTAAGTGTAACGGCCATGCCAGCAAGTGTATGAAGAACGGTGGAGGACGTCTGGTGTGTGAATGCAAACACAACACGGAAGGCGACGACTGCAACGTGTGCAAACCGTTCTTCAACGACCGGCCATGGAGGAGGGCGACGGCTGACAACGCCAACGAGTGTCTGCGTAAGTCAGCTGATGCCAAACTGCAGCCATGATTAGTAATCTGAGCTGTAATGCCAAAATGCAACAACTGTAGTGCATAGAGTTTACAACAGAAATGGGTTTGAGGGTTAGAAGTAATACCATTAATGCAAAGTTTAATGATTTGGTTTGGAATAATTTGACGTTTCAACGATTTTGAAGAGGAGTGTGCTCACATTTGTGCTAGTCTGCTTTGTTTTTTACTTATTGTTTACAAAGAAATACAACATCACAACAGAAAACCAGGCAAACAAAGAGTCGACCCATAAACAGGTAACCTTTGAGCCTTTGGATTGCTGCAGCTGTAACTGATCTCAGGCCATTAGTCATGATGGTCTCTGGAGGATTGTGGGAGCTGTAGTTCCTGTCAGCTGAACTTTCATATCACAGTGCAGAGGCATGACTAAACTGGGTTAAGGGGATTTTACTGTTTTCTTCTCCCACAGTCGAACAAATCCATCCTCCGGCTTCTGCCATCAGCTCAGGAAGCTGGAGGAATCTGAGAGTGATGGAAACTGTGTCTCAGGACAAATGAAACGTTCACATGTGAAGTTTCACCTCATTTAAACCTGATTTTTATTCACTTTGTTAAACACAAGGCTGCGTCTGCTTTACTGTCAGTGATGCTGTTTAAATTAAACTGTGTGTGTGTCCCCCTCAGCTTGCAACTGTAACGGGAAAAGCTCAGAGTGTTACTTCGATGCAGAGTTGTATCGGGCCACCGGACACGGAGGTCACTGCAGGAACTGCGCTGACAACACTGACGGCCCAAACTGTGAGCGTTGCCTCGACAACTACTACAGGGACCAGAGCGGCAGCCGCTGCCTTCCCTGCAGCTGCAACACTGTCGGTGAGTTGCAGCTCCACGAAACAAGTCAATTGGATAGAAGAAATAAAGCTGCAGAGAGAAACCTTCATATGCAACTTGGACGCTGCAGTTTCCCATGAACACCTGAACTCATCGTAAATGAACATGGATGAGGTCACATTTACATTTTACATAAAAACAATGAACCGTATGAATGCTCTGTGCAGCAAATCTCAGCAGAAATTAAAATACATGCTGCACCCACATGTGTAAGACACACAAACTGAGGAAACAGCATTGTCCTTGTTTTTATTGGGATTTTTGGTAATCAGTTCGAGTGATTTTGTGGTCAGTTTTGTTTGGTTTTGTGGTCACTCTGCATGTTTCTTGGTGTTTTAAAATTATGGTGTTCAGTTTGCATGTTTTTGCAGTTGTTTTGCTTATTTTTGAGATAAGTGTCAATATTTTGGGGGTTATTTGCATGCTTTTGTCATCAGTTTGTGCGTTTTTGTGATTGTTTTGCATGATTTTCTGTGTTTGTTCTGGACATTTTTAGGATTAGTTTGATAGGTTTGTGGTCAGTTTGACACAGTGAAAGAATAGTCGGCTATTCGGGTCCAGCCGTATTTGTGTGTTTATATTTTTGTTTTGCATGTTTTTGTGGTCAGTTTGACTTTTTTGTGCTTATTTTGAGTATTACTGTGATCCGTTTACATTTTTTGTGGTCGTTTGCATATTTTGTGGTTGTTTTACATGTTTTGTTTTTAGTATGAGTGTTTTTGTGGTTCTGCATTACGTTGAAGTTATTTGTGGTAGTTTATTTTTTTGTATTTCTTTGTAATCATGTTGTGGAAAGTTAAGTCTCCCTTTCGGCCCTTTGATCAACTTGCCAACATGAAACAGTCCACGATAAACATCTCATTGGATGCAGTGAAGGGTCGCACAAATTTTCTGCCACAGAGAAGCAGGAGATGGTTTAGAGATCAGGTGTAACGTTGTGAAAATGTTGCAGTTAAAGTAAAAACATGCGAAACCGCCGGCATGGACTTTGTGGTGTCAGCGGTTTTTAGCGGAGCGCAGCAACAAACCACCGCTTAATGTGAAGCAGCTGCTGAACTCCCAGCCATCCTGCGTCGTAATGGTTTGTTAATGGGAGCTGATTGTTTGCACGTGGCTGAAGGTTAACGTGTGTGACTGTGTGTGTCTGTGTGCGTCCAGGCTCTGAGTCTCCTCAGTGCGACAACAGAGGAGTGTGTGCTTGTAAACCAGGAGTGACTGGAGAGAAGTGCGACCGATGCCAGCCGGGATTTCACAGTCTGACGGAGGCCGGCTGCAGGTACCAACCAAAACCTGATCCAGCAGGTACCAACCAAAACCTGATCCAGCAGGTCCCAATCAAAACCTGATCCAGCAGCTAGACACCAAAACCTGATCCAGCAGGTACCCGCCAAAACCTGATCCAGTAGGTACCAACCAAAACCTGATCCAGNCCAAAACCTGATCCAGTAGGTACCAACCAAAACCTGATCCAGTAGGTACCAACCAAAACCTGATCCAACAGGTACCAATCAAAACCTGATCCAACAGCTAGACACCAAAACTTGGTCCAGTAGGTACAAAATATTAAGACAAGGTAAAACAGGACAACAAATAACAAGATCCAAATTTAAGATAGAATACATGTAACCTTTAAGAACAAACAGAAACCACTGAAAACATGTAAGTTTTGAGATTTTTCTTTAAAATGTCAGTGAAGAAGGTTTTTATTGTGAGACGGCAGCTGTTTTAGAGCTACTAGAGTTACTGCAAAACCTCAATCTGAGCTGCAGATGTTGTAAAGATTTGAAGATTTTCCTGTTTTCTATCAAAATAAACTGAACATCTTAACTGACGATCCAACAATAGAAGCAGTTTTAATAAGTTAATGTCCTGTTTTTCACTATTTTCCAACATTTTAAACACAAAACACATTGAAGAATGTAGTTGTTGTTTCCAGCCTTCTGATGGATTAATACAACCTAACCAGAGTTGTTTTGTTTTTTTGTTTTTTTTTAATTAATATCATCCATCCATCCATCCATTTTCTATACACCGCTTAATCCTCACTAGGGTCGCGGGGGGGCTGGAGCCTATCCCAGCCGACTTAGGGCGAAGGCAGGGGACACCCTGGACAGGTCGCCAGTCCATCGCAAGGCTACACTCAGAGACAGACAACCAAGCACACTCACATTCACACCTACGGACAATTTAGAATCACCAATTAACCTCAACATGTTTTTGGACTGTGTGGGAGGAAGCCGGAGAACCCGGAGAGAACCCACGCTGCACGGGGAGAACATGCAAACTCCACGCAGAAAGATTCCGGTGCCCCCACCGGGACGTGAACCGGCAACCTTCTTGCTGCGAGGCAACAGTTAATTAATATCATGAAAGAAAAAAAAAACTTTAGAGTACCTCAATAAAACCCAACTTTACAACTAATTAGCTCAAAAATTTAAATAATTAAACCGTAAAACTGAATTTTGAGTCCCTCTAAAAGTTCTCGACCCAGTTGATATTCAGTGCGGTGACTATTGCAAAGACCATTATTTGGTCAATAAAACTTTCAATTATGATGAAAAAATGCCTGGTATAACTTCCTGGATGCCCTTAAATTACATGTTTTTCACAAAACTCCAAAATTTTTAATTGACAGTCATCCAACAGCATAAGAAAAGCAGTGAAGTCACACATTGTCTCAGAAAGCAGCAACAGAAGAAAACTGTTGTCTGTAGTGCAGAAATATAAACGTATAAATGTTAGAAAGTTTTCTCTGGATCAGTCTGAAATTTTACAAACCCCATTTGCAGGAAAAAACTTTTTTGTTGTGTTTTGATTGCAATATATGAACTGGACTCAATGAATGGAGTGTAAACCACTGACTGATCTATGAGCGCCCCCTACTGGCAGCAACTGGAAAACCCTTTTTTGGTCTCATTAGGCTTTAATTAGATGTTTTTTTGGTTAAATCATATAAGAAGGAGCAGCCACATTAAATCTCCGTGTCTTTGCAGTCAGACCGGCCTGTTTTCTGAATAATAAATCCTCTCTCCGGTCAGGCCTTGTTCCTGCTCACCGTCCGGCAGCACTCAAGAGTGTGACGTCAACACTGGTCAGTGTCGCTGTAAAGACAACGTGGAGGGCTTCAGCTGTGACAGGTAAAACAAGTTCTGTCAAATAATTTGCCAGAATTTTGATTATTTCATGTTTTTTGTTCCTTTTTTGTGTTATCACCTTCAATAAACAAATCTCACCTAGAAGGCTCACCAGAAATAAAACTCCAACAGCCGTGCAATGTGGTGAACACAGAGACAGGACAGTTTCCAGCAGGTCCAAATGAACAGATCAGCTCCAGCAGAGAACAGTTTTTCAATTATGGCCTTCTAAAAATGGTACAAAAATGCAAAATCAAAAAGGGTGGTATTCATATTGTGTATATGTATGGATGTGTCCATGCTTTTTACTAAAAGTACAGTCTTTGGTCAACGTTTCACCAATTTTTGAGGCCCCTGACATCAGAATAATTAGATTTTTTGCTATTTTAACACATCAAAGGGAGTCTATATAGTATTATATGTGCAAAGTTCCAAGCTGCTTCCATGTTGTCCTGTTGAAACTCAACAACATATGCGGCCTATTTTGCCAAATGTTTTCATGCAAATAATGACAATCAATGATCAGTAATGGTTTTGTGGTCAGTTACATTGTTTTTGTGGTTGATTTGCATATTTATGTGGTTCTCTTGTATGTTTTTTGTATTTTTTTTTTCATTTTTGCGGTCGATTTTCGAATTGTGGTTAATGTTTTTGTGGTTTTACGGTTTTTATTTGGGTGGTGTGTGTGTTTGTGATAATTGTTGCTTTCATTTTGTGTGATTTTGTTCTAATTTTTGTGTTTTTGCTTTTATTTTACGTGTTTTTGTGGTGTTTTTGTTTTCATTTTGCATGTTTTTGTGGTAGTTTTACATGTTTCTGTGGTGATCTTGTGTGTTTTTGTTTGCATTTTCAGTGTTTTTATGGTCGTTTTGCATGTTTTTGTAGTATTTTTGTTTTCATTTTTAAGTGTTCTTGTGGTGACTGATGTTTTCATGGTTTTACGTATTCGTGTGGTTGGTGTGTTTTTGTGGTTTTCACTGTTTTTGCGGTCAGTTTAATCTTTTTGTTGTTCTGCATTTCAGTAAATTAATTCTGTGTCTCTTTGTTGTAATCATCTGTTTGCCGTCATGATGTGTAATATTGTGGATATTTTGACTTTGAAGAGAAAAGGTACTCTATTGTGGAGAACTGTGCAGAGACGACGGCTGATGTTTTAGTCAAACAGAAGGTTGTGACGTTTCCTGTTTGTGTCCGCTAGGTGCAAACTGGGCTACTTCAACCTGGACCCCAACAATCCTCAGGGCTGCACCCCGTGCTTCTGCTTCCAGCACTCGTCTGTGTGTGACAGCGCCGAAGGCTTCAGTGTCCACACCATCACTTCGTCCTTCTACAGAGGTAACGTGGCCCACAGGCCAAAACTGGGCCAGAAATAATCCAGACAGCTGAGCAAGAAGTGATAGAAATATTTACTGTGTGTTGTCAGATGATGAACAGTGGACAGCTCAGCAGCGTGATGGATCCAGCGTCTCAGTCCAGTGGTCTCCCAGCGGACAGGAAATCTCCCTCATCTCAGACGACTACTTCCCCATGTACTTTGTCGCTCCAGGTGAACACATCTTTCTACCTTTCTGAGGACTCCTCACCAACATAAAGCCACAGTATTTATAAGCTTCAGCTGCAGGTGGAATTTAAATCTGATCTGCTGCATGTCACTGGCTGACTCTATTTCTTTGCTCCTTTCACATTTTCACTCACTGTTGGTTCATTTTTCACTGCAATATAAAGTCCTGCTCCTTTCCAAAAACAGAACAACTTTGATGAATAGATGCTTTTATTCATCAAGGTTGTTGTTGTTGCTGCAAGAACTCAGAAATGTCTTCTGTGCCATATGACTCAAAATTGAATTACTAATTTTTAAAAATATTATTATTATTATTAGTAAATACAAATTTTTTCCAAGTGTCCACAGGTTACTGAGTCGTCTTTTATATCTCATGTAAAGTGACTTTTAACCATTTTATGCTCCGATTTGGGTCATTTTGCTCACAGAATGATACATCACAGATAAGTAGAACTGTGAGAAAGTTAAAATTTCAAAACTGTAGAATACAGTTACCTAAAGATATTTAATTGTTTGTTTATTTAATGACCTCTACAGCCTCGTGTCCTCTCTGCTCGTTGGAAACACTGCCCGCAGTTCGACTGAAAACATTTTAATTTTTGCCACATGACTGTTGGTTATAACTGAGTCGGTCTTGACTTCATAGTTGCGAAACAGATTTCAGAATATTTAGATTTTTACAGAATCGAATTAGACCCAGCAGTTTATTTTTGGTGAATTTTTAAATGAGACATGTAGATGTGATTTTGACAAAATGTCACTTTATCATTTATAAGTTTAGATTTGTTTAATTTTACCAATGAAATTCTACATCACAGATTCAAGGAAGCAAAGAAACATCTGGCCAAATTTTATTTGATTTTTTTATAGAATCTGGATCATTTTTGGTAGAATAAAGGGATTTTAATGAAATATCACCATTTAAAATTTTGATTCAGTTCTTTTTCCAAAAGAACAGTACATCACAGACAAGTAGGTCCGTCATAAAGCTGAAAACTTGGGGATTTAAAAAGAAGTAACATACTAATCAAACCTGCTGGTGGATTTTGGAGGTCAGAGTTTTAACAGAATCATGGGGAAAAGGTAGAACAATGTGCATTTGCAAAGAAGCGTGAAGAGGCAATAAAACCTTAAAATATTTTTTTTTCTCTGTTTTTATTATTCTAGTATTCTGTGAACTCCCCAACAGACGTGTTTTTTTATTCAGTTTTTGCATGTTTTTTTTTTGTTGTTTTTTGTTTTTTTTTAAGTGACCGCGTCACTTCACTTCTTTTATTTGCTTGTTTTGTTGTTTTCTGAGCGTTGCCGTGTTGCCTTTAGGGACTCACCTGGTGCTTGTTTTCTGTGTCACAGAGAAGTTCTTGGGGACCCAGCTGCTGAGTTATGGACAGAATCTGACCCTGAACTTCCGGGTTGACCGGCGAGATACCCGTCTGTCGGCCGAGGACCTGGTTCTGGAGGGAGCTGACCTGCGGGTTGCCGTCCCCCTCATCGCCCAGGGCAATGCCTACCCCAATGAGAACATGCAAACCTATGTGTTCAGGTGATGCAGTTGAATTTATGGTTTTAACTGCTGATTTTATATCTGGACGCAGCTCGGTTTATTCTGGTCCCAGTGGGGTTTAATCATTTTTAAATCTGACTGATAATCTAGTTTCCAATAATAAATAAATTTGAATTCTGAATCTTAATTTAATTTAAAATAAGTTTGGTTGTAATCAGAAGGTTTCGCGTTAAATTCTAATGATGATTTGTTAAAGGAGATTTCGTTTTTTTACTTAAATCCGCAAAGATGTTTGTCTCTTAATCTGGTCAGTTATTTTTCAGCAGTATAATACTCGTATGCATATACATATATATATACACTACCGTTCAAAAGTTTGGGGTCACCCAAACAATTTTGTGTTTTCCATGAAAAGTCACACTTATTCACCACCATACGTTGTGAAATGAATAGAAAATAGAGTCAAGACATTGACAAGGTTAGAAATAATGATTTGTATTTGAAATAAATTTTTTTTTTACATCAAACTTTGC